CATTCCTGTATTAAATTCTCCTTCTCTCAACCCACAGGGGTTTGTTTTTCTCCCTTTTCTCCTTCCTGCTTGGAGGGGGGAGCAAGTGGCCATGTGGTGCCCAGCTCCTGGTTGGGTCCAAACCCTGACAGCATGAAATTCTCACACAGATACTCTGCTTTTTGGTTTATGTTTCATTTCGGGCACACTAACCGTGCATCCTGATGTTCTGTAAAATGCAATACAAGTCTTCACCACAAGTGCCTGCAGCATCTAGGAACTCTTCCTGGCTCATGCTGCATAACTGCAAGCCATTGATATTGAAGTGGGCAAAGGAAATGCAGCTGGCATCGAGTTGGTACTGGTCACAGCAGAACTGCAGCCATTCACAGACCTCCTGCTTACTCCAGTGTTCGGGCTGGATGGATGTCCAGGGAGAAGAATCTGCAAGATATTTGACAAAAAGGAACATTGCAATGCAAAACTCATGGTGCTCTTTGTTTTAATAAGTGTTTTTCAAGCAAAACTCATCCCCCTTCCTTCTGTTACAACTACAATCTTCCTTGTTCCTCTAGAACACATCAAGCCTTGCCTTCTGCATTTTTCAGTCTCCTGTCATCACAGCCTCTTTTAGCTCAAATATTCATACTAATTGCAAAAGATATTTCAAGAGAAAGTGCTTACATGTGAAAAAAAAGGAAAATACACCTCTTAAAATGAAAATTTTGTAAAAAAAAGTCACAGTGCAGGATTTGTAAGAACTTAGAACTCTGTGATAAAAAGGAGTGATGCGTTCCTAGAGTAAAATAACCTTGAGTCTTAGATGGGAAAGTGTTCTCATTCAAAGAGACCCAGCTACACTCTGGCACATGAGTAAATGCTACTAATATATTATTATTTTCTTAGAATTCCAGCAAATTCTTTTACTTCTTTCCTTTGAAATAATGTTGGTAAAGTCATAGCAGGGAATATTTTTTCTTTTTTAGATTAGAAACTGAAAAATCTATTAACACAAGGATCACTGGAGAAATATTTCTCTCTGATAAAAGACTGAAAGAGTTTCTAAGTAAACCTGCCAGGCTATCATAACCTAACACTCTTTTGCCAATTAAATGTCCAATTTTTTAAGAGGCTTCTCTCCTCAGCAATTCTGCCACCTGGAAAATGTATAGGAAAAAAAAAAATGCAATAAAAATGAATTTATTTCCACATCTCACAGTATCTTACACCTGACTTCTATTTCCCAGGCTCTTAATCCAGTCATCCACTCTTTATTGTTTCATTTTCACATTAAACCTGAACATCTGATGTTAGGCTTTGCTCCCATGAAATTATAATTCAGGATAGGTTCTGATAACACTGCAAGCCAAGGGAATTGTGTCAGTCCTTTGTCTAGACAGCCAGTTCAGAGTGCAAAATGATGCAAAGAGCCTGGATGAGTTTCCATAGTAAAATTAATTAGGAGTGTTTGAAATTGTGACAGAATAACTGAAATATGGATCTGGCATCCTACATGGCTTCTGGAAAGCAATTAATAGATTTAATTATATGTCCTAAAAGTTTACAGAGGAATTTGTGGGTGCTTTCATGAGTCATTCCCATGCTATAAATACCTTCATGTGTATTCACATACAGGATTAATGTAATCCTGGATGCTGTCTTTTTAAACCCAGAGATGTTACTGGGACATCCTAGCAAAGCCAAGAGATGAGCAAAAATTATGGGTCTGACTTTTAGGACCTGCACTTTGAGGGTATTTGAATCTCAGATTTTATTCCCCTCCTCATGTAAAAGGAGGATCAGGTGAGACTGAGATGGGGTGGCTTTTCTGAGGCCTGCAGACAGCACATACCTGGCTGAAGGCTGCCTTGGGGGAGAAGGGAATTTCTGGGAGCACCAGGCTCCCAAGGCTTTGAAATCAACCTTGAGCTCTACACGAATCCCAACCTCAGAGGCTGCTCAAGAAAAGCAGAAGGTTCAACTGATCCCCCTTCCATTCTACCTGTGTGCACAACACAGCTGAGAGATGAGGTCTGGCCTTTGTATTTTCACTTAAAGAGTGTTGGATTGCTCATTTTTTTCATATCTTCAGGCAACATGAAAGAAAAGCAAAACTATTTCTTCTACCACACCACAGGTACAGTGACTAGCCTTCAAATATTTTGGCCATTGGGCTGGAAATGTTGATTTTGACTGAGTTGTAATGAATTATCATTTTCACTGTCATTTAAATGGCACAGGGCAGTTCTTTCATGGAACAACACTCATCCTTGTTTCATCACTGGCAATCATCTTTGTTGTCTCAAGCCCCTCTAAGCCACAGTCCTGTCTCTGATCTGATCTGCTGGAACAATTTCACATTTTTATAGAAAACCTTGTAGAAACTTACTTCAGGCTTATCCTTAAAAATCCTAGTGCTCTTTCCAGCACAGGAGCTGAGCCCAGCAAGAGTCTGTAAATCAATGATCCTCATCTGTCTTTTTTTTTGGGCAGTCTTGCCACCTATTTTTCATCTATTTAGCCTTGAGCTTCTACTTTGTTTCTAGCAAGTACAAAGTAGGTTTTCCAAAGACATGGGGCTCACAAGCCTTAAGCCTCTTACTGTCACCTGAAGAAAATGTAGATTTAATGTTATGACACTGACCTACATTCCTCTCTGGCTTCAGAGCCAAGTGCTTTTCTGTTCAAGACCTGCTTGTAAAATGCTGGTGGCACTGCAGGAGTGCTTTTATTTTGTGTTTTACTACATGTTAAATGCTCTCCTTGGCTACCGTGGAAGAAATAAGAGAAATCACAGGCTGGTTCAAGGTTAATTCAGAGAATAATTATTGTAACCATGAAGGACTCCTGGAAAGCCTGAAAACATGAAAAATTGAGCAATAAAAAACATGTGGAGGAAGAAACATTGTTCTTACCCTGGTTAGAAGAGGCTAATTATATACCTGCTGGTATCACAAGTTCCCTTGGGATTGTTCCAGTCTCAGCATTGTGGGGTTTGTGTCTGGGATTTTTTCTTTTGTTTAGAAAGTTAAAGAAGATTGAATAACAGCCAAAACTATAGTGAAAATTAAGTCAAAATAAGAATTCTGAGTGATACAAAACTAACAGCTTTAAACTGAACCACAGCAGCTATTTAAAACTGCATGTTTAATTTACATATTTTCTATCGTTTCAGGTGAAATATAGAATTGTGTTCGAAGTTGGAATGAAAACTAATTTTAAAACAATTATTTTAATAAAAATTCGATTTCTAGCAGGTTTCAACATTTAGTTGGAGCAGGAAGGTTTGTGTGCTAGCTCATATGTCAAACTTGATATAGAAACAAGACACTGCACCCTCAGTGGTCGTGGATCAGCACCATCAGAAGCCATGTAGAATGTTCTGTTCTTTATGACTCAAACTGTGCCTTGTCAAGAAAGATTTGGGTTTTTTTTTCAGTAAGGCCAGAAGTGTTCTCATGTAAAAGGACAAAAATAGCTTTAGAAGAGAAAAATGTTGCCTGGCCAATTTTTTTGCCCAGTTCTCACCAAAATGTTTGGCTCAGTAACGTGGGTGGTTTGTGCTGCCTCTCTGTTCAGAGCCTGTTGAATGATTCAGCCAGATTGCAGAGAAGAAAATCAGGAGTATTTAGGAATTGAAACCTGCTGTTTAGAAGGGAGATTTCTAACAAGTAATGCCTGCTGAAGCTGCTGAACAGGGACATGTCGTGACACCAGAAACATGGAGGAGATCCCCACAGGAGATGCGTGGCCTGGTAGAATGGAGGGTTTCCATATGCAGTTAGGAGTTTGAATGCTTCATGTGGGCAGATTCAGCAGTGAGGAGCTCTTGTGTTGTTACAGATGCATTTCTACAGCCATACAGTCCTCAGAATCCTGGGTTTTTGGCAGCTTAGCATGTGTTTATCTGGCCACTGCTATTCACTATGAAGTTGCAGAGTATTTGAGGGACTGTAAATTACCCCAGTTAAATTATTCTTCTGTTATATAGCTGACGTGTTTTATTGGGGGAATCTTTCCTGTGACAGATGCTGGATTTCAAAAAGATAAACAAAAGGAGTCAAGAATTTGAGGCCATGGTTGTCCTGCCCCCCCTAATGAACCATGCTGTCCTTTGGAAGTCCCTGCTTGCATGAGGTGTGTCATCTTTTCAAGGGAAGGGAAAGCATCAGCTCAACACAACATGTAACAGAGTTAAACCCTCTATATTTGCTACTTTTCCTGTGCACCTTTATTTTTTTCTGGCAGGTAATGTGCTTGAAGAGGTCATTAAGACTAGAGGGTAGAATGCTTATAACAGAAGGCTCAGCAGCAGGTTCAGAATCCACGGCCTGTTTGCTGCATGACTAGTCTGGAATGAATTAAATCCAAATCACCCTTGAGTTTTTGACTGAGTTTTTTTTATGGCTTTTTTTTTTTTTCTCTTGGAGTCTACATACCTTTCTGATGATCACAGGTGGTGTAGTCATCTTCAGTTGTCCCAAATAACTCAGACCAAGACATCAGGGGATCACAAACCATCGTGTTGGACAGAAATGTGCTCTGAGTTACTGACTCCAGCATCGCTTTAAGATATCAATGTATCAGTTAACAATGAAAAGACAATATTAAGGACTGAAGTTATAAGGCTACAGGCATTTTCCCCTTGTTGTGGGTGTTTAGATCTATGAGGTACCATGGCCTAAAACTTCTGAACCTAATGATGATCTTCTGAAAGCAGCAGTGAAGGATGGAATTGAGAAATTCAGGAACAATGCAGCTGATGTATATACCACAGGTAGATTTATAGGAAAAATTATTGTGATGGCACATTCCTAGGGAACTGATAATGCAATTTGTGTGTATAGAGTGAGAAATCAACCATTGAATAATTAGAAACATGCAGATGAGATTAGTCAGGGTTTAATAAGGTCATTGGTACAAAACTTTGTGCATGTCCCCATACAAACCTATGAGGAAACTTTGTTCTGGCCATTAGGATACTCACTTTGTCTGTAAGACACTGCCACAGAGGTCAACCAGTCCAGAGTGTAGGAAGATTTACTAAGTCTGAGAAAAAGTGTTTTCAAAAGAGGTTAGAAATGGAGAATTTATGCTGATTGTACCTTTCAGAGAAGATTCTTGCATGAAAAGTGAGATAACTGAAGAATAAAGTAGTTGAGAATTGGAGATATTTCTTCTGGCCATTAGGATACTCACTTTGTCTGTAAGACACTGCCACAGAGGTCAACCAGTCCAGAGTGTAGGAAGATTTACTAAGTCTGAGAAAAAAAAGTGTTTTCAGAAGAGATTAGAAATGGAGAATTTATGCAGAAAACTGGTTGTACGTTTCAGGGAAAAAGATTCTTGCACGAAAAAGAAGATAACTGAATAATGAAGTAGTTGAGAATTGGAGATATTTCAGTGAGAGAAACAAGTGGCTGTGGAAAATATGATCTATAATATGACAAGAAGTAGGTACAGAAGAAGAAAATCTTTGCCCATCCCTTTCTCTTCTACATATATCAGGTATGTACAGGTGTAGACTCCCATTTAGTAGAAATGGGGATAGTTTAGGAGACTTGAAGGAAAGCAGTGATTTAAACATCTCATTCTTGATGTTTGAGTTCACGTCTGCTTTCCTATTTGGGAGAGTCTGGAAATGTTCCATGAATGCATAAATGGATGTGATTGTGGCTCTTGCCTCTCAGACTTCACACAAAACTACTCAAGCCAGTTTTAGCTCTTTTCTTCAGACCTAGGCTGCTTCTGTCTTTCATACCTAATTCCAGCTTGGGTAGGTTCTAACAGAAAGAGACCTGAGATGATTAGTAGAGTAATATGGTCTTAAAGATCAGTGTGTAATCTGAAATTATTACAAAGTCAAAAACTGTGCAAATAGCTGTGTGTACTGAGGAAAGGTGAAGGAGTCAGAAGTTTTCATGGATAGATGGCAAAATTGAAAGAGAACTCTGATCTTAGTCTAAATAAATTTAAATTAAAAAATAAGATCTGGAACATGGAAACTTTTGGGAGGCTCCTGAAATCCTTTGATATACTGCAATTCATATATAGGGCAAGGTAATATTTCAAGAGCATCCCAGCTCCATATAACCATACCTGTATGCATGAAACATGAGAATATAAATTAGGAATCCTTTTAGTCAAAAAGTCTATTCTCTATGCATTTCTACCCAGTGATTTAGTGTGGAATGCTGCAATGCTTAATTCCAATACTTTAGTGAGATTATGGCAGTTTACTCTGCACAGAATTCTGGAGTTCACAGGACCATGTAAAAGGACATCAAGTGTTCTGGACTACAGCACAAGTGTGTTGAGCCAACCAGCTCTGAAAAATGATAGAGGAACCTACTCATGCTGAACATCTATGCAAAAGAAAAGAATTGTTTGCCACAGAGGAAAGGTCATTTAGACCATCTAGAAATCAATGGGAATGTTTTCAAGAGGAAAATGTCACTGCTCTTTAATCACCAAGGGGTGGCAGGACAGAGACGTGCAGAAGAGCTGGATAGAAGGTTACAGCAGAACTGGGAGACCTCTGAGTCCCTGACAACCCATTTCTATAATGACAGGACGTTGCCAGAGATGCACCTACATTTGTGCAGGAGATGATCCCAGTTAGCACCTCTGAAAAAAGTGGAGCCCTCCAGGAGATGTGTGGTGACAAAGATCTTCCCAACCATGCCCTCTACGGCCAGTATGCTCCCAGTATACTCCTGTAACAGCCAACCCCCCACTGTGAATATACCCTGGTACCAGCTCAGTGGGCAGAGAGAAACTGCTGAGAGCATTTTTGAGAGAAGAGAGGATCTCCACAGATCATTGGAGAGACTTGTTTTAAGACTGGTTGCAAAGAGAGTAGGTTTAAAATCCACTCTCCATACCTCCCTTCTCACACAGAAGATTTCCCTCAGACGGAATGAAATCCCAGTCCTGCTCAAGACAGAGAGAATTTTCACATCACATTTATCAAGGACAGGATTTCAGCTTAATTCTGCTGGTTGTCAGCTTTTAGTGAAGAAAAAAATAATAATCATTTGGAAATACTCATGGCTTAGATAAAAGAATATATGACCTTGCAAGATTATAATTCCTTCTCCATCAGGGTAAGATTTGGCTAGAAAAGTAAGCTGTCAGTGTGTACATGATTGGTTCTGAATGGTAATGACAGGTTGGTAGATGTTAGTGCCTTGTTTGTGAATTTTTAAGTGTGGAAAGTAAATTTGCTGAAGGTGAAGTGGTGCCTGGGAAGATGGATGAACTGCTACAACCAAAGACAGGTGTGAAATAAAATCAGGGCTTTGGATCTGGAAAAAATCACATCTAGGCACACTCTTGAGTTTGTAGTTTATGGTGAGGAAAACTTATTTCTCAAAGTTGGGAAACTAAATTTGTGAATGGCAGCCTAAAGCCCCTGCTGAAGACTAGACCAGGACTCAGAGGTGCAGGGCAAAGCTACCAGTTCTAAATCCTCCCAACAGGCTTGACCAGATGTTTGACAAGCAGCAAAAGCCATTTTGGGAAGTAAAAATCCTGTTTTACCCATGTGCAGTTTATACTCCTCCCATATAGAACTATGGACGTTCCAGAAAATAATGTTCATTAGGAATATAATTAATAAAGATAATTTCTTTTCAAATATTTAATGCAGACAGGCTATCAGTTTGGGTCACCTTGAATGGTATTTCACTGTTAGCTGGTGCTGCTTATGTACACATATATATATGTGATTAAATACACTGTAGGAACATAGAAAGGGGAAGAGTCAGGCAGGTTTCTCTAAACAACAGGAGAGCTTTACAGCTCTTGGTTTTATTCCAGGTTGGAAGAAGCTATTAATTAGCTGTCCCATCATGAACAATCTCTTTTGATTTAGTGAGGCAGGTCTAGATTGTTCAAAAGGATTTGTTGAGGTTCGTGCTTGTCTCCACCATTAATTTATTAAACCCAAGTCCATTGTTTCTCAGTGAGAGAAGTGATGATGCACAAATGAGAGCAGCAGACAGTCCCTCAGCGGGGTGCCTGATAAAATCATCACAACAAAACCACTTTGACAGCTTACAGCTCGTTTAAAAACAATGACTTCAATAAAGAAACGGAGCTTACTTGTCGGTAGGTGATTACTCCAGAGGCAGCAGTTCAAGTCCAGAAGTAGGTCTTGGGAGCAAGGGGGAACAGGAGGCTCTAGCAGCAGCACAGTCAGGCACTTTGGAAATAAAGCCACCTGCAGGACCAAACACCTTCCAGACAGGTTTGTTTGGTTTTTCCAGTTCTTACACACACCCCTTTTGATGACAGTGATAACGTAGCCCAGGGACTGGGAGAGAAACGTTCTCCTGTGGAAAGTTTACCTTTATCCCAGGTTGTTTTCCCCCTCTTTCTCTAAAAAGTGTTGATTTATGGAATAGAATCATAGAATCCTTTAGTTTGGAAGGGACCTCCAAGATCATCAAGTCCAACCATTGAGCCATCCTGGACCACTTCAAGCAAACCTGCTGTGTTTAAGCACTTGAGGAGACTCTCACTCCTTCTCTCATGACCTCAGCATGTAAAAAGGGCTGTAGAATTTTGTTCAGTGCTCTCAGAGCCCACGAAGAGGCATTCTCCCCATTCATATGTGACAAAGGTCAGGATGCAGAAACGTGACTGGCTTGAAGTCATGCAGCAAACCACTGTGGGTGTCAAAAAAAGGACAGCACCCACCTGATGTCAGGTGACTCTGTCTGGCCAAGCACTCCTGCTGAAAACCAGAAAAATCTGCTCAGTTCTAGCTCAGATGCAGCTGCCCTTAATTTTGAAATGATGGAAGGTAATTTTGGTGTTCTTGGAGAGGAGGCTTGGCATTATTAGAAGCAACAGATCAGAGACAGCAGCAGTGGAGAAATTGAATTGCAGAATGAAGAGAATACATCTCACATAAAATGCTACTTTTTAATGCCACAGGGAGAGGAGGGGGAGGAGGGCAGAGGAGTGATTAAATAAGACAGACCAAATAACAGAGGCAGAAGCTTGCAGGATCTCTTTGGCTTGGTTGTCTTCTTTTATGCTGTAGCTTCAGGCAGAGGCATTGATTCCCTTCATGACTGGGGTGTCAGGGTGCCTCCTGAGCACCAGGCTGCTGTTGTGTGCCTCTCCTGCTAGGTTCAGAGCAGTGACCCTGAGGTGAGGAACAGCTCTTGCATGCTGTGGATACGAGGAATGACTCAGAGGGAGTGTCACATTTTAGCTCCCCAGGGTGACGTGGCCCAGGAGAAGTCACTCTGGGAATGGGGCTGGTAGAGGGACACCCGGGTGCAGTGTCCCATTTCTTTGTAGCAGGACACCTACCTCAAGTTACACAAGATGATGTGTGACAAGAGGCTGAAGCTTTGTCTGGGTGGCAAATCCTTAGCCCTAGGTGACCCTTCCTTCCTTCTCCCTACGGTGCTTTCCTTGATCTCCTTTAATGAAATTCTCTCTTCTCCTTGTTTCTTTGTGTTTATTTCCTTCTCTGCTCATCTTTCTTGTATCTTTCTTTTCCCACATGTCTTTCCAAATGGCAGAATGATGGAATTTGCTCCTAC